TAATGGTGATAGTATATTATCATAGCTAATGGTCAAAACAAGCTCAACAGCAAATTGTACTATAAGCATTTTTCTTCTCGCGTGGTTTTCTATTAGTCATAGGCCTCTTTCTTTTCATCCAGTTCGAGTGCTTAGGCTACTGCTGCTGTTAACAAACTCAAACTCAATGTGTACTCAAATCTCAATATATATTCATATCATTGAAGATAATTTTAGTCCCTTTTCAAGCATCGACTTTCGTGGGATTTGAAGAAGGCGAATGTGAATGAATTCCGTTTACTAGTTTTTTTCTCTTTCAGCCGATGTCGACGGGTGAAGTTAAAAAATCATTGTTATTACCTAAATCAGCATCTCCCGACTCCCATTGGCAGTCTCTGACCACTGCAACCTCCGTCTTTCCATGTCTTCTCGGCGTCTCTGACTTGGTGAAGGTGAAGCCAAATCTGGATCCAAAATCGAAACCGAAATGTTCAGCAAAGAAGCCACCTCCCAAAAGGCGTCGAAGACGTCGTCAGCCCTCTACCTGGGAGGGGGAAGAAGGCGTGAAGATAGAGATGGAGGAGGAAGAAGAGGGGGATGATTTTACCTCTCCTAAATTTTACTAAAGCTCAGCATTTGTTCACCTTTGCATTTGCTCTTCTATTGTAAAAGACCGACAAATTTTATTGTTTTGTCCATAAAGTATACCATTTTTGGTAACATTTGATTTCTTGCATTAAATTTTGTTTTTTTCCCGTACTATGTTGATGAGTTTTAGCTTTCTTTGAATTTTCGGCAATCTTCCTACAGCCGTTTGAGTTCCTTTTCTTAATTTTATTCTGCCAATCTCTTAATTTGCGAGTAGTATGGCTATTTCTCTTCATCTAACGATTTTTTGAATGTACTGGGTATGTTTTCGGCGTATCTGCATAGTCTTGATTCAAACTAGTCTAGTTTGTTTCATTTTTTTCACTTATTCCACGCATTTACAGGCGTTCAGAGATTGTTTTTGCTTTGGGTATCGGATTATGGTGTTCACGCTTCCCACTATTTCTCTGGTTTCATCGAGTATTTCTCCATTTCGTGTAACTTTACTTGGCCTATTTAGTGGATTTTAGGTAGAATTTATTCACAAATTTAATTTTAAATTTTGTTCTAGTCTTTATCCTCTCAATGAGCGCTGTTTCGGATTTTGTCTTTATCCTTTTAAATGTGTATGCAATAGTCACTCTAATCCATTCACACCTTTTTATGGCCAGCCCAATGCAATGTCAAGAAAAGACCTAACTATCATGCCAGGCGCCGTAGTGGCTAGTGAGTGTGATATTCTAGGCGATATCAGCGTTGGCGCGCGCACTGTCATTCATCCCAAAGCGAGGATCATCGCAGAAGCTGGCCCCATCCGTATTGGCGAATCAAATCTTATTGAGGAGCAGGTGGAAATCATCAACAGCATACCCAACACCATCCTTATCATTGGTGACTTCAACGTGTTTGAGGTAGACTATCGCCGTACTATTTTGCATCAGCATTTTAATTAAATCATAATTTAGCTTTATCTGTCAGGGACTTTCTATAATTGTCCTTAATTCAAAATCGCCTCTGATGCTTATGCTAAAATTTCTTATAGCTCAACCCTGTCTGCATCATCAAATATTCTTGGTACTTTGTTTTTTTTTGGCAAGCTAACGAGTTCAGCCACTTGCCTTTTGAATGTTCGGTTGTTTTCTATGCAAAATTATTTAGCGAATTCTATCCCAAAATCCCATCTCAGCTAGAAGTTTGTATGCTCCTTTTCCCAATATGGGAGTTGAAGGTCTTAATGATAACACACGGAATCGTGTGGTATCCTGAAGAGTTATCGAAGCAAGTAATGAAGATGCAAAGGGGGGAGCGGTTAAAACCAGGCTCTTCTTTATATGTTGGTCGTTAAATGCGTTCAAACAACGCTGATTTGTGGAAAGTGCAGCTTTGCTTGATTATCCTTTAGCTGCCAGCACCTGACGTCGCTGTAAGCGTACGTGAAATTTTATCGGATTGTTTCTTATTTCACATTCGGCAAATGAAATAAATAAACTCTGAGAGTGGCCTGAATAGGAGTTTGTGATCTTTCGCCCAGAGCTGGGAACGAACTGCAACTGAGGTTTGAAAATGAGATTTTGGTCGTTATCCCTATTTGTGTCACATTCATTTGGTGCTTCAAGTAACATATTCTTTTCGGCGCTCGGCAGTGTCTCCTTAGAAGATCTGGCTGCATAATGCGCTGCCCTTCAAAATCATATCCGGTTATCAATCTTACGATAACGAAAGGCTTAAATTTCAATCACTCTTTAGGTTGGAGCTCGGGTTCACAGTCGCGAGGTGGGTAACAGCAACGTCTTCGAATCAAAGTGTTTTGTCGGTCCACAGGTTCGCATCTCCAACGGTTGCGTTGTCGGCGCAATGTGCTCTATTACAGCTCCGGAGCAGTTGCCTGAAAATACCGTTATATTTGGCGAAGGTGTGAGTAGATTCTCTTTTTCTTCGCTCTAGTTTGTTAAAAACAAGGACATGCGAATGGTTTTTAAATGTAAAGGTGGGGGTTGACTATAAGTGTTAGACTAAGAATATAGTCTAACCTGTTCGCTGTGCATGAGGGATTTGATTGGTGAGAGCATCTCAACCTTACTTTTTTGCATGGTGTTTAGTTTAAAAATTACCTTTTTGGAACTGTTTTTTGGTTGGTAGGATCCAGTCCTTTGCGCCAGTTCACATAATGTTTTACAAGGTCGAAGTGGTATCAACTGTCCAATTGTTGTTCATCTACTCGTGCATTGACAGGTGGTAAATAATGTCAGCATAATACGGACATCAAGGTATAAAGGACAACACTTTCATCGTCGACCAGAGTCACGGTTTGGCAATACGTATAGTCCGAGTTGGACGATTCACGCACTTAAAGTATTTCTACTGAATTAACATCTGGAAAGAAGTCGGAGCATAGATGCAGTCGACAAAGCTTTCCAATGTGTTTCGTTTATAATGATTTTGGACTTATTGCGGCAAGTTTTTCCGCAAAACGAGTCATTGAATTTTTGGCCAATCTTTCAACAGGACTGCTCTTGACACAATTACATATTCTTTTTTTCATTTTCCATTCAAAGCTTTCACGATTTTTGGGTCTCGAATTTCATTCGTCCATCTTCTTCAATTTTCCTGATGTTGGTGAATTGCTGTTTAAAGACTTGGGACGATAACATTGAGCATAATCTTTCCAAGCTTTGAGTCTTTCAAACTTCCATGCTACTTGTGCTCATTCCGTTGGACTCCACTCACAGATCTAAACTTTTCTTAGATTTCCAATTTTTGGGCTTTCAAACCTTTACCTTTATCCTCCATTAATGCCGTTGTCTAAAGTACGGTGTTATAAG